TTTGTGATTTTAAATCTCTGCTGGAGTTCTCTCACCAAAGAGTACTTGCCCCAAACCTGGATTTTGGCATACCTTTTTGTTTGCTTTCCCAACCAACACCAAATTCATTCTGCGACCTCAGTTACAGAGGATCAGCTAGCAGGAGATATGAGAGAGGCCTGCTGGAGACTCTGGAGAGCTGCTAATAGCCAGAGTAACCAATGCTGGGATAAAAAGATAAGTAGTTTGCCTACCTCCTACATATCTAGGGCCTAAAGATACACGGGGGGGAAAAAGACCTGCAAAGATTACTGAGGCTGCAGTCCTATACCCACTTGGCCTAAGAGTATGCCTCATTGAAATCGCTGGGTCTTATGTATGGTAGGTATGCATAGGATTGTATAGGACACAGGTGATGGCTAGCAAGTTCCAAAGCAAGCATTAAGATTTCCTTTTAAAAATGTAATGGACAACACATCATAACTTATTAAACAAAATGTAGGAGTGAGATGGAGTAATAACGCAGGTATTTTTATTCAGTTTCCTTTCATCTGGCATTGTAATCAAGCTGGCCAAATGCGAAATGTTTTAGCAGCTTCTTGAAAAAAAGATCTCAGCTGACACATTTTATCATCAGCTTCAGAGGGTTAGTCCAGGCAAAAGCCAATTGTTATCAGGTGTGAATTAGCATACATTGGGTTCACTGAAAGTTGGGGAAGGTGATAAAAGTAAGGCATATTGGAAACACTCATCAAAAGACATGATTGCCATTAGGAACAGTAGGTGGATAACCACTATTGATTCCAAATGTTTAATTTGATTTGATGGATTTTACTGTAATTAACACTGGGTTTTATAAGAGCATGGTTCTTAACATTATTAAGTAGGAAGACAAATTGTGAAATTAAATCTACATTTGATTTGCAATGTTAATTTTGTAAATGTTTCATAATGTTAACAGGTTGTGCTAATGATACCTGGTTCTCATCTTATTTTCATTCTACTCCATTGACTGGATTGATTTTTCTTTCTTTCTGCATTCAGAAAGTACAATGATATTTAGGTTATATATATAGATATAGATATGTACATACATGCGAATGAAGCACATGTTGTGAGATTAATCCTTAACAGCATTTTGGAAACATGATGAAACATGTTTGATTGACTACAACTATTCTTACATATTGTATGTAAATGTTACATTCAATAACTAACAGGTGTCACGTGGGGATAAACTAACATTTAGTTTGCATTGTACACTGTAAACACCAAAAAGTGCTGATACTTCTACAGTGTAATTCTATGTGTGTTCACTCAGAAGTGACTCCAGCCAGGGAAGCAAAAGAGGGGGAAAGTTGCTGGTGGGCTCTAGAATGGGGTGAGGCTGATGAAGTTGGAGAAGAAACATCCTGTTGACTTGGGCCTGCTGGAGGAGGATGACGAGTTCTAGGAGTTCCCAGTTGAAGACTGGGCTGGTTTAAATGAAGATGAAGATGCATGTGTGTGGGAAGACAATTGGAATGATGACAATGTGGAAGATGATTTCTCCAATCAGTTAAGAGCTGAATTAGAAAAACACAACTAAAAGATGGAAAGCTCATAGCTTTCAGCAATGCTGCAGCCTGGGACATAGCTGTCAACTTTCCCTTTTCTTACGAGGAATCCTATTCGGAATAAGGGAATTTCCCTGTAAAAAAGGGAAACGTTGACAGCTATGGCCTGGGATGGGATTGTATATTGAACAGAGAAATGTTACAGAATGCTGGCTGGAAGCAGAAATACTAGACTGCCCATTATTATACCCCCCCAAATGTGTTTGTTTTGTATAAATAAAAAATTGAATATAAGAAGAAGAGGGGGGAAAGAGAGCCTTCAGTTGTGTTCAGTGGAACTTACTCCCAGGCAAGTGGTTGTAGCCTGGCAGCTACCATATTTTCAACCATTAAATTCCAACATTCACACACATGAGACCACATTTGCACATCTTTTGGTGGACACCCCCCTCCCCACTGGGGTTGCTACCTTTTTTCCTGACACAGATTCTATGTCCTAAAGAGATTTACAACAGGCAGAAAATCAGCAGCTGATGCTTCCCAGTCACTGTTTCTCAATGGTGGAGCAAAAAAATGAAATCCATTAGGCAACCTGGGTGCACAGTCTTTAGTGTGTGTGGGTTTTTTTTTTAAAAAAATATGTATGTGGGGTTTTTATGTCAGTGTCAGTTGAGTAGGTTCTTTTTCTGTGGGGAGCAAGGCATGTTTATTTGCCTTTTATTGTCTCTGATGAACTGTAGTGAGATTTGTTTGCGGTTGTGGACGCAGTGGGGGATGAAATATGAGGCCAAGTTAGCCATATTGCTCAGTAGGCTGTTGGTAGATCCCTGCTACCACTGTTGTCAGTGTGCACAGTCTTTGTTGAGGGTAGTGGGTGGTGGATTAACAAATCCGCTACTATGTTGGCAGTGTGGTCATTTTATACCTTCAGTTTTAATCCAATGTTGGTGCCTGAACCAGTTCACAGCCCAACCCTTACTGCGTAACCAACACCTAGAGATCACCTATGTTCCCAGCCACACATGGTCCAGTGGGGAAGCAGGCTGTTGGCATCTACATACATGAATAATGTGCAGATCTCGTAGAGCATGTGAGGAGTGGCATGTTTTTATTTATTTATTTATTGGCATGGATTTATATCTCACCTTTCTTCCAAGGTGGTTCCTAGGCCGTCTCCCATCCTGGCACTGACCAGACCCAGAGCTGCTTAGTTTCATCTTCATGTGTCATGTGTTATTCCTGGTGCAGAATTCTGCAGCCAGGATGCTTGCGGGGGCAAGTCCATTTAAGCTGATCCTGGCCCAACTATACTGGTTGCCAATTAGGTTTTGGGCTCAATTCTCAAAATTTATGTTGTGACATCTGTGGATGAAGGGGAGTATACAAATTTATGATAATGATAATATTTTTTTATTATTTATACCCCACCCATTTATTGGTTTAAATGTGCCTTCAGACCATGCCCTGGGACCTTTTGCAGTGGGTGTGATGCAGGAAAGGATGAATAATGTCTCTCATTTGTCCATTTCTTAGCCCTAGTTATTTAGATTCCAAGCAATGCAGAGTGCAAATGACTGCTCTGCATGCTATTGTGTTATTAATTTAGGCTGCAGTCCAATACTTACTCACCTGGGACCAAACCCAATTGAACTCAACAGGATTTACTTCTGAGTAGTTTAGGATTGTGCTGTAAGTGCCTTACAGAGATTAACCAATTTATCCTTGCGGCACCCTGTGGCATAAGGGCAGAAGGAATGAAAGCATATGGAGGCTAACAGATCCGTACAAGAACACAATAGAAGCAAAGTCAGGGCTGGAAACAAAGGGGATTTCTGCAACGCAGATATCTTGATTTCCTTAGTAAATAGGGTCTGCAGATGGTCCCAGGGAGAATGCTCATGCTCAGCTACCTTGAGGAAGCTAAGCAGGTCTAAGGTTTTCTAATGTTAGCAACATCTGTTAACTTCCTCAACACTAATGGGCCTGGTCAGTCTCTGACCAACTTGCATGCCAACTTGAGTTCTACGATGGAAGAAAGGTGGGATATTAATGGACTAAATAAATCTGCCAATATTAGGGCTGGTTTATATTTTTTTCTTTTAAATTATTTTATTTTAAAGGGACGCGGGTGGCGCTGTGGGTTAAACCACAGAGCCTAGGACTTGCTGATCAGAAGGTCGGCGGTTTGAATCCCCACAATGGGGTGAGCTCCCGTTGCTCGGTCCCTGCTCCTGCCAACCTAGAAGTTTGAAAGACCGTCAAAGTGCAAGCAGATAAAGAAGTACCGCTCCAGCAGGAAGGTAAATGGCATTTCCGTGTGCTGCTCTGGTTCACCAGAAGCAGCTTAGTCATGCTGGCCACATGACCTGAAGCTGTACGCTGGCTCCCTCGGCCAATAAAGCGAGATGAGCGCCACAACCCCAGAGTCGGCCACGACTGGACCTAATGGTCAGGGGTCCCTTTACCTTTACCTTTTATATTTTTTATTTAAAAATGCCTCTTTGTTTCTAGACCCAACTGAAGTTGCTCACATTAATGTCTGAAGCCCTAAATGACTTTGGCCCTTACTAATCTTCTTGTGTACTAAGGTTGGCAGAGCTGGCAGCTCTCTTGGTAGTTCCTACATGCTTGAAGGTGCAGGGAATGGTGGCCCTGTGAGAGGGCTTCCTCTGTGGCAGCCCCTCAATGCATCGAGCATCTTCGCTGTACAGATTTCATGGTACGCTGAAGATGTGTCCCTCTTTACCCTGACCTTTTGGCAGTATTTTGTTTTGTGGGACCCACCTCTCCTGTTGAGTATTTAATACCACTCTGCTCCATTTGGAATGCTTTTATCTGTTTTTAGAATGGCATATTATATTGTTGTAGCCAGCTCTGGGACTTTATGGTGAAGAGGGAGTAAGTCATCTTACAAAGAAATGAAGACTGCATACGCACCGCTGCAACAAAGCAGCATTCATGTTCCCAATGTAATGCACAATGTGGGGATATATATGTGCCCGATTCGCTCCATCGTCTGATAAAAGGTTAAAGGAAGATGGGCATCTGAGATACCACTTATGTAAACACCTGGGCCATACGTTACATCATACACGTGGCTGCATGTGTGTCTATATAGTCTGCTGCCGCACTACAGGGACAATCAGCTTATGGTGGTCCTTTGAAAAACTCTCCTGAAATAATGGCACATCAAGCACTACCACTCCAAGTGAATGAAGATGCTGCAATAGCAGCCCTTGGTGGGTTGACCCCTCTGTGTGACACTGCCTTGCTGTAGCTTAATGAGGCAGCTATGCCTCAGTAATAGAGGATGCACTTTGTATGGTTCCCAAGGCTCCTCTTCTGGCATCACCCTAGATTTTAAATCAAGAGCTCTTCAGGTTTCACAACCGTAGAATCATAGAATTGTTGAGTTGGAAGGGATCCTGAGAATCATCTAGTCCAACCCTCTGCAATGCAGGAATGTGTAGCTGTGCAGGGATTGAACCTGCAACCTCGGCATTATCAGCACCACGCTCTAACAGTGTAGGAACACACAGCTTTTTTCTGAGTCAGACCATTAGTCCATGTAGCTGAATCTTGTATAAACTGCCTGGCAGTGTCTATCCGGGGATTGACTCTGGGGCCATAGAAAGCAGATGCTCTACTCCTGAACCCTTAGGTCTGCTGGGATAGCTCAGTTGGTAGACCATGGGACACTTAATTTCAGGGCTTTGGGTTTGAGCCCCAGGTTGGGCAAAAGATCCCTGCATTGCAGGGGGTTGGACTAGATTACCCCTGTGGTCCCTCCCAATGCTACAATTCTATAATTCACTACAAGTCTCCTAATGAACCTCAAGCATCTATCTATCTATCTATCTATCTATCTAAAGGCAGCCCTATATAGGGAAGCTTTTAAAGGTTTTATTATGTTATTGTATATTATTATTATTATTATTATTATTATTATTATTATTATTATTACCGCCTGTATTATATTACCGAAGCTGCATGCCATTAATTAGGTCCTGTTTTCAAACAGGCCAGCAAAGCCAAATAAACTGCTTCCCGGGCTTAGCCTCCCGCTTCACCCCGATGTGAGGTTTTCTTCATTTCGGTGCAACGCTAATTCCTGAGACCTGCCAGAGCCTGACCTTGCCCCGGTAAAGCCCTCATTGGGAAACTAATTAACGGAATAATGCTAAAGAAGCAGCAGAAGCAGGATCCGTTCTTGTTTCTCCCCATCAGGATGTTAAAAAAGCAGAGTACTTCTAATTAGCAATAATTAAAAATTAATTAAGAAGCTCTCTGCAATCCCCTTTCCCCCCGCCCGCCTGGCAGCGCGGGGTTGCGGGAGCTGTTCACGTCCCTGTGGTGCTGAATCACGGCTTAATCACAAAGCCTTAGATCACGGCTAATCCAAGAAGGCAACCGTGTATACGCGGCGCGCTAATCATCTCAGCCCTCCGACGGAGACAAGCATCTACCCGGGCCATTAGGAAGCCGGGCCAATTAGTACGTTTAAAGCACATAAAACGTATAGATTGCAATCCCTCCTTACTGATTGGCTGATTACAGATGTAATTGCTTTATTGTTTATCCTGGCAATGGCTTCCGTCATACTGAGGGATAACAGCATTAGGAGGTTTCAAAAAGAATACTAATTACTTAAGACCAAATTGTCAAGTTTCAGGTCTTAAAGGCAAACAGGGGGTTTAGGGTTACTTCGTATGTTATTTGCCCCGCTCACTCCCAATCTTCTTGTAGGAAAACGCGACTGTCCTATTGGAGGGATAGGCATGCTGTATTTTCCTAGCTCTCCTGCAACAAGTTTTGGCTTCCAAGCTGTGTATTCACGGAGGGAAAAAATAACCACATAGCACTTCAAAGGGGAAAAAAGTGACAGAAGATTACTGAATGTCAAATAATCAGTATATGCAAGGAAAGACCTCGCTGATCAGCACCTTTTAAAAAACACTAACAATAAAAAAATAAATTTCCTGAAACAAAAAGGATGTATCAGACACCTTTTTTAAATAAAAAAATCATAATACCTTGCTAAATCTAAGAACGAACTCCCAATATTTCGTGATGAAAAGCATATTCTTCAACATATTTGTTTGAAGTTTATGGTTCATAGTTCACCGCCCATGGAGCGGACCCTCCAAAATCACTCATCATTTTCATATCAGATTTAAACAATACTAAAATTGAAAAATGGCAACAATTGTTGGTTTTTCTTTTTGCTAAGAAAAATAATGACATTTGCTAAAAATACAGGTATGGCTTTTTTATATATATAAAAAAACCTCACACAAAAACCTTTAAGTGTCCCAGAAGTATACATTTCCCTGAAGCCAGGTGATTGTTAAAGGGAGGTCCCCATTATCTTAATTATGTTTCTGGACCAAACATTATTTCAGTATGATAAAAGATGACATGACACTAAAGGTAAAGGCAGAGCAGATGTTACATGAGTAACAAGCCAATATCCCCACATTCTGGTAATTTCTCCCCCACTAGACATGTTCTCATTAATCTCTGATTAATAGGATTTGAGTATAGTAAATGATGATCATCTATTGTCTGTCTTCATGCAACACCATGGAGAGAGCAATTTGTCAGCTCGGCTTTTGTGTGACTATTTAATAGAAAAGGAGGGGCTGGAGAGGAAAGATGCTAATCTTCTAATTGGCATCTATAGAGAAAGGTCTAAGAACATTGCCTGCCTGGAAATAGCTTGTGTGCAATTCCTTTGCCCGTGTGACTGGGACAGAGACAAATGCAGATCTCAGTGTATCTTTTTCATAATCACACTCTCTCTATATATAAAAAATAAGAGCAGGGAAGCAAAAGAAAGGAAGGCTATAGAACGGAGCGCAATTGCATAAGTCTGTTGTGTTTCAGCCCCTTACGTGTCAAAGAAGCACATTGACTGGTGTGACTTTCACAAAGGCAGAAAGGTGCCTCTTGTGCAGAGATGAGAAAAGAAAAAGGGGGAAATCACATATGATTAAAATAAATAGCTGGGCAATGTGAAATAGAACAGAGAGCATTAGCAAGAGCCACAGATAACACCGTGTGACATTTGCCTTATTTCTTATTTAATCACACTATTTGGGCATTAAGGGCAAAATCCAGCCAAAGTTAAGCACTTTAAAGTCCCATTGACTTCAATGGGAGAGCTGTGCAGTGCAGTCTTGAACATGCCTACTCAGAAGCAAGTCGTAGACTCATAGAATTGCAGATTTGGGAGGGAACATGGGGGTCATCTAGCCCAACCCCCTGCAATGCAGGAATCTTTTGCTTAACGTGGGGCTCAAACCCACAGCCCTGAGATTAAGGGTCTACTGACTTAGCTACCCCAGTTAAGTCCTATTAAATTCAATGGGACATATTCCCAGGTAGGTGTGCATGAGGCTGCAGCCAGAAGCATTTGCTTAATTCTCCAGTTTGAAGCTAATGGGACTTCAGACTGCTAAACTTGAACTGGGTCTTGTCCTAAGTTTCCAAAAGGGACCAATGTTCCCTGGTTCTAAGAAAATATCATGTGATATCATGCAAATGAATGAAGTTACTTATTATAAGGCCCATAAAACTTTGCCACAAAGCCATGGGGGTTGGGGAGAGTAATATTACAAATTTGTCCACGGCAGAGGAGTTCAGCCTAGAGACTGACCCTCGATGTAATCTGCCCTACACCATAACGTGGAGACTTTTATTTAGGCACTTGTGTTTTCTTCTTCTTCACAAAGTTTCGGTGAGAAAAATGTTGCAAATCACAATTTGTAATGCTGGATAGTTTTGAGCTGCATGGAGAGGAACTGGTTGAATGCTACAGATTAGATTTGCAATATTGATCTGAGAAAGCCAATACTATGGACAAACAGATTAAAACACACTGTGGAGTCTAGTGTAAAACCAGACAAAGGGTGAAGGATCGAATATGCAGTAAATCCAAATATGTGGCAAATCAACACTATGTGCAGTTACGATTCGATCCCTCCAACTGATGTACTGTTTAAAAAAAGCACAAGAACAGAATAAACATACATTTGCTGAACAAAAATGAAAGATATGATACAGAGAAGTGAGAATGGCATAACAAGACAGTGGCTTTTGTTTGTTTAAAGAGACCTTAATTGGTGTGGGAATGCCTCATAAATATTGTTACTTTTTTTTTGCTGAAAGTATCACAGATGCATCAAGCCATGTGCAAAAGTTTGGGAATCTTTTGTTTGGGGCTGTAATATTGAGCACAATTAGAAGCATCTTAGTCCCAATCAATGGGACTTTCCCCCAAGAAAAGGAGGTTATAGATTGAGATATAGGTGTTAAATCTGATAGCTAGAGCATTTTGTATGTGCAACAGACAGAAGGAACTGCGAACATGTGCAAATATAAGTTTGTGTTCACATGGAAGTTGATTTCAGGTCTCCTTCAACATTTCCTTAAGAAGAAACATTCTATTTCTAACTGCTATGATTTTCAGGTTTTATTATATATTTCTCTTTTAGCCACAAGCCTTTTTTAATCCACTATATTGTGACTGATGATGGCAAACACAGGTATTTCACAATTTGAAAAAAATGTAATGAAGAATAATATTTCAGTGATATGAAGTAGTCTGAGCCACCAACAAAAGAGCAAAACATTGGAGAGGAGTTCAAATTCCTGCTGAGTCATAACCTTTTATCCTCAGCATTTCCATCTATAAAATGGGAATATCTCAGGGGAAATAATAGGTATTTATTATAGAAAAAACCCTTCCAACTCCACAGTTCTATGATTGTATGATTCTAAGACACAGGTGTCCACTGTTGCTCGCTTATGCATGCCCTCTCTAGCAAGGACACTAAACAAACTATTTTTTTAAAAGCTCATCAAAGTAGGACACACTCACTCTTGCTTCTGTGGTTATTATGAGGAAATCTGGCCTTCAAGGAAACAGCTCTGAGCATGCTCAGAACAGATGTATCATTCTGATGGGCTGTGACATGGTGCAGGGCTGTTCTTCAAGCAATCCTCCCTAATTTGATATAGTGGCTGCTGAATAGCTCTCATAACAACAGAGGGAGGCTGTCAAGTGGAGGCTGAAAAGCAGGCATTTTTCTGAGTATTCAAATGTCAGCCACCTGCTTTTTGCCCAGATATTTTTGCCATAGGTATACTTTAGGATTAGGATTTCCTGAAATATGCTGATTGCTAATTGGCCTTGGAACAGATTAACAGAAATGCCTCCACAAGCATTCATGGAAATATGAAATGCATGTGGGACAGGAAAGAGTGTGCGGCTTTAAGATTTTTGGGGGGGATGGCTCAGGATTTATTTATTTTAAAAAATTGCTTGCCATTTCCAGTGGGGCAGCTGCAGTTCAGTATCCCTAGTGGAAGAGCCTTTGTTGGTTACAATACCTGACTATTGTTTTATGAAGTTGAGTTAGTTCATTCTGATAAAAACTGAGGCTTTCACAAATTGGGACCTGAGCTAACATTTGAGCTACAATTGAACAAATGCCATACATTTAAAGATGATTTTCAGATTTATCCCATGATCAAAAATACAAAAATTATCCATGTGGGATTATTACCCCCTGTTTATAATAGTTTTAATGTATTTTTAATCTTTGTTGGAAGCTGCCCAGAGTGGTGGGGTACAAATAATAAATTATTATTACTAAGTACATGTGAGTGATCTTGATTTTCTGATAATGAAATATACATTAAAAGAATAGCTGAATGTGTGAAATTCATGCTAT